TTATCTCACTCAGCATGATCTTTTCCAGCTCCATCCAAGTTGCTGCAAAAGACATGTGTTTCTCTTTTTTGGTTGCTGAGTAATATTCCATTGTAAATTTTGATATTACTAATATAGGTTGCTCAATTTTCTTTACTCCCAATAGGTAACGAAGTCCATGGCAGGTGTAGTTAAGTCTATGGATGCTACATTGAGGAGTATGAACCTTGAAAAGGTAAAAAAACATTTGATGTTCAGAGAGTATCTCTTCAGTGTAAGTTCTTATAAAGACATTTCTTCTTACAGATTTCTGCTCTCATGGATAAATTTGAGCACCAATTTGAAACACTGGATGTTCAAACACAACAAATGGAAGATACAATGAGTAGCACTACAACTCTAACAACACCACAAGTAAGAATATTTCTGTACTTAGGACAACTTTAAAATACCCAACTTCAAAATTTATTTTGTGAGCATAAATCATGTTTAGAATATGCTTAATAAATACAGTATATTCCGCCAAATAGAAATAGGAAGTTATGTTCTACTCCTGGAATTCCCATGGATATGTTAGAAGACTATATTCCCCATCTTGTTTTGAAATTCTAGGAATTACACAAGGTCATTTGTATAGAGAATCTGGGATTTGGTTCTACCTGGCTGCCAGTGGTTCTTACTTATGAAGGCATTGCACTAGAAGCTCATTGAGGTCAGTGGGTATTAGATACTAGTCTAAGCCTTAGTTAATTCATCTTATTGCAAATATTCTGCTTTCTACCTACTCTTTAGGTGAATTATATATGTCACAGGTGAACAAATAGTAAATTGCAAGATTATTAAGAAAAATAGGATGTTTTCCAAAACAGCAATTTAGAGATATGAATAGAAAAACTGAAACATGAACCACAGTTTTATATAATTTAAATATCCAGATACCCCAATTTTAATATTTAAACCAAAAAAGGCATTTTCACTTTTCTCTTTGATTCTAACACCTGTCTTATGGCTTATCAAATGAAAAAATTATCTTTTCAGATGCTAATATGGAAAAAGTATAAGTTGCAAAATAGTCTGGGAATAAAACAATGATCCATACAAATTTTACTGTAGATAACTTCACAAAAGGTGAGAAAAAAAAAAAAAAGAAAAGACCATTTCAACAGTTTTAAAGAGATTAAGGGAAACATTTTATAATTATAAATATTTTAAGAACATAACAATACTGTTGTATAAGTGCCTAAAAACAGTATTTAAGTACATGAAAAATTGAACAAAAGGAAAAATCAGGCAAATCCACAATGAAAATAGAACACTTTAATGTTTCTCTTTTAACATTTGATAAAAATTTGAATAAAGGCATCAGGAAAGATGTTGAGTATTTGAGTATTTGAACGTGGCTTTCAAGCATCTTTATTGCAATCATTGTAATATTTTACCCAATAATTGTAGAAACCAGTTAGTTTTAGATACAGGTAGAACTTGCCCAAGAAACCTGTTGGTGGACCACAAAACTAGTTACAGTAAATAAATTCTTACTAAGTGCATGCTCTGACCACATGGTATTATGTTAGAAAATAATAAGCTACAATCCAGAAAACTGAAGATAAACAAAATAAGTTGAAGTAAGCCACAGTTAAAAGGACTTTTAATAAGAATCATAAAATATTTTAAGTTGAGTTATAATTTTTTTTAAAGATTTATTTATTTGTGCATACAGAACTGGGGTACAGGCCAGAGACTCAGGGGCGGTGAGAAGCCCCACCAGAGACAGAGTGAGGATTAGAACAGGCAGATCGACGAAGTACACTGCTGAGGGGAGCAGTGGGCGGGTCAGGAGAGGTCCGCCACGCCATGTGGTCACCTCTAGGGCAGGCGGGAATTGAACCCATGCGGAAGCGGCTTTAGATTCTCAGTGCAGTGCTTTAACCCTCTGCGCCACCAGGGAGGGCCCGAGTTATAATTTTTAAAAGTGCTAAAATTTGCGATGCAGCAAAGTTCTTCTTAGGTGGATATTTATAGTTATAGCTATAGGAGAGAAATCAATAACCTAAGCTTTTGCTTTCTGGGGTCAAAAAAAGAAAAAAAGAAAAATTAAACCCAAGTGAAGAAGAAGGAAGGTTATAATAATGATTACAGTAAAGTTAATAAAATAGAAAACAGAAAAAAAAAAGATAAAATCAGTTAAACCTAACAAAAATTCTTTGAAGAGATCAATAAAATTTATAATCCTTTACCTAGATCAACTAAGAAAAGCAAAAGACAAAGACCAAAAGAATATATATATTGTGTTCCAACTATATTTTTTACATTTTAAAGTAAAAGTTATTTCAAGTATGTATCTGTCGGGGGTAAAATTATAAAGAAATATGAGTGAGAACAGTGGTTATCCTTGTAGAGGGCGGCAAGTAGTGACCAATGGGGAGAATTAGGGTGGCATTTGAGGAGTTGGTAACATTCTGTTATTGTTTTGAGTCATGGTCATATGAATATTTACTTTATGGTATATCACTGAGCAGTGCATTTATAATTTTATCTATATTTGGAGTATATATCTTACAGTGAACATATAGCCATTATTTTTATGCCTTCCTTAGAGCTTTGCGCCTCAAAGTGTGGTACAAGAATTAGGAACATCTGTATCATCTGATCTCCTTAGGAATGCAAAAATTTAGTTCCCACCTATATACATTGAATAATTTAACAAAATTGCTAGGTGAATTTTAATTTTACTGAGTTTGAGAGGCATATTCCTAGAGTTCTCATTCAAGAATGTTAGGCAATCTCCAAGTGATTTTCTGATCTGTCAAATTTAGGAAACATGAGTGAACTGGAAAACTGAGTTGAAATAGAGACACTTGGATTTCCAATCCCCACTCTGCCACTAATTAACTATGGAATGTTGATTAAAATAATCATTATCCTGGGTCTGTTTTCTTAGTTGTAAAGGGTATGGGCTGGATTTGATGATATCTAAATGCCTTTTTTTTTAAATGATCTCTGATGCCTTTTGCTTTAAAAAATCTTGAGGGCCATCCAACCTACATATATTGAGCCATCTATTCTTGTTTCAAGAATTTACTGTGATTGAGAACATTCAAATCCATACAACACATTCTACATAAAAATGCAACCAGAACTTACAAAAAAATGGAGAGGGATCTGGACACATTTAGTTGCCAAATTTTGATAACCGGATAGTGAGTTACTCAACTTTAAGTTTGTATATCCACTTTATAAGAGCAATTTGATAATATTTATAGTCTGTTATTAATATAACAACCATGTTAAAACAAATAAGATCATGTCACTCTTCTCAGAATCCTCTAGTCATTCCATATCACCCTCAACATAAAAGCCAGTTCTCTCCAATGCCCCTATAAAATCTGCCTCATCTGGACATCCTACCTACAGAATCTGCCTTACCCTTCTTCTCTGATCTTCCCTCCTATTACTATTCATCATCCACCCAAGCACTTGGCCTCTTTGTTATTTCTCAAACACACGAAGTACATTTATACCTCAAACCATTCCATTTGCCTTTTCTCTTGAATGTTCTTCCTCATTCTTGCAAATATCTTTATTACACACTCCCTCACCAAGCATCCTCCTTAAAGGGCAACCACCATCCTCTATATTTTTATCATTTCTGCTATATTTCTCTTCGCAGTACATATCACCTTCTAGTATACCATGTCATTTTTTAAAATTATTTATTCATATAGAACTGGGGTACAGGCCAGAGATGCAGAGGGTGAGAGACTTCACCAGAGACAGAGTGGGGAGCAGAACAGGCAGATCGATGAAGTACACTGCTGAGGGGAGCAGCGGGCGGGCCAGGAGAGGTCTGCCATGCCATGTGGATCACCTCCGGGGCCAGCAGGAATCAAACTCATGCGGAAGTGGCTTAAGCTTCTTAGTGCTGTGCTTTTAACCTGCTGTGCCACCAGGGAGGGCCCACCATGTCATTTTTAAAAAGTTGTAGTTCCCTCCCTTCACATACTATATGCAGTAACATAAGTTTAATAAAGTCAAGAATTATTGTTTTTGTTAACTAATGCATCCCTAGAATTTAAAATGGTATCTGGCATAAAGTAGCTACTCAATTTTTAGACTAGTCAGACTAAATCTGTTTGTAACCTACAACCTAGTACTTATACTTCCACATTTATACACAAACTTCTGTAAAGATACTATACATGAGAATATTCCATTGCAGCTCTTTCTATAATTGGGGAAAATTAGGGGAAACTCTTTAACTGTTCATAAATATAATGAACTATATTTCTATATTGCAGTATTTTGCACGTGTGAAAGTAAATGACTAGTTTTCTATATATCAATATAATTGTCTTACAAGGCAGAATAAGAAAGCACATTGTAGTGCAGCATAGTACACATATATTTTAATTTTATTCTAAAACAGTGTTATTTTAGATATGAAGTAAAGGTAATGTAAATGCACATAAGTACTTTATGTATTTTCTGAACTTTTTCTATCTTTTGGAAATATTGTAAAGTGACTTAGAGATAACAAGAGAAATGAGGGTCTAACAGCAAAATTATTGATTTTGAAATCATACACCTCGTTAGTAATAGAGCTGGGACTAATGCTTAGAACTCCCACCTCAATGTCGAAAAAAGTTTTCAATTATGTTAAATACAAGAGTTCATTTTAACTAATCCGAATCCATTTTCTGAGAACACTTTTACTTCAGTTAGTATCTCAATACTTATATTGCATTCATCTCTAGATATTACAGAAAAATCCTTAATATCAAATTTGTATCAACTAGGAGAAAGAACAATTATACTCCAAAATTTAAATATACTCTAAATGTAAGTAAAGTAAGTTAGAAAAGAGCTTTACAAATTGGTTTATTCTATTAAAGAGCTAACAAGATTTGAAGTATATGTTAATATCAGTAATTATTTATTAAATTTGTCAGTTTACATGTCGTATAACTTTGGAGATACATTTTCAATCCTCCACCTGTACATATGGTTCAGCCATCCACCACCATTAAGCCCAATCCCTTTCCTCATAATTTAAGGCTTTACAATATAAAGTAAAATAATTTTCTAAATTAACTCAGCTCCCTCTAGTGGTTATATATATATATAACACATTCTTTTAGAAATTGTGGACATTTTCCTCTTATTAAAGTAAAATTAGGAACAAAAATTACCCTAAAAACAAATTCCATTAAAACATAAATTTTCATTTTCTTATTCTAGAACCAAGTGGATATGTTGCTTCAAGAAATGGCAGATGAAGCTGGGTAAGAATTTATTCAGACATTTTTTGGATAATGTCGATTTAATAACTAGAGGCCCTAAAATTTATGTAATATGTATAAATATATTTGTCTTACTGTCAATATGAGAATTTGATTTTTAACCCTAGAATTTAATGTTGGAAGGGCCTTTGAAACAGTTACCCAGTTATTTGCCATGCTCATAAAAATGTGACTTTATTCAAATCATTTGAATATTTTCTTCAAAATAATTGGAGATACATTTACTTAACATGTGATGAGAAATGGAAGAAGGTGATTGAGGGAAGTCAGAGTGGTTAGCCTTTTCCTGCGTACCTACTGGTTTTGGCATATATGAAATGTAGAGATATTTTTTTAAAAGGCCTTCTAAAAGTTGTTTGCTATAAATCAGGTCACTAAGTACTCAGCGAAGTTCTGCAAACTGAGTAATATATACAAAATTCTCAAGGAATTCAAAAGATGGCAACATTGCAGATAGTCATTTTTTTTTCAAAACTAGCAAATAATTGATACTGTGGTGCTGCTATTATTATTATTATTATTTATTTTTACATCATTTTGTGCTTTTTGCCATCTCAGCATGCAATCCCCATGCAATCACCATGGTCCCATGCACTTCTCCCCCCACTATTTTTGATCCCATTCCCCACTCCACACCTGTAAAATGTCTCTGGTATATAGTTGTTCAATATTACTCCCCCCACCCCAGTTCCTTTATACTCCTGCTATGAGTGAAACCATCTGGTATTTTTCCTTTTCTTTCTGGCTTATTTTACTAAGCATGATCTCTTCCAGCTCCATCCACTGTTGCAAAAGGCATGTGTTTATCTTTTTGATTGCTGAGTAATACTCCATTGTGAATATATATCACTGCTTTTTAATCCACTCATTTACTTTTAGGAATTTGGGTTGATTCCATGTCTTTCCTATTACAAATAAAGCAGCAGTAAACATGGGGGTGCAGGTGTCTTTTTGAACCAGTGTTTTTGTGTCTTTTGGGTAGATACCTAGGAGTGGGATTGGTTTTTTTGTGTGTGTGTTTTCTTTATTAGGTTTTGTTATTAGTGTGATGTTGACTTTGTAGAAGGTATGTGGTAGTTTTCCTTCTTTTTCAATTTTTTTGGTTGAGTCTGTATAGAATAGGCACTAGTTCTTTTCTGAACATTTGGTAAAATTCATATGTAAATGCATCTGGTCCAGGACTTTTTTTTTTTGGGGGGGAGATTTTGATTACTTCTTCAATTTCCTTGCTTATAATTGGCCTGTTTATTCTATTTCTTTATACAGCTTTGGGTAATTGTAGAGTTGTAGGAATTTGTCCATTTTGGCTAAATTGTTGAACTTGTATGCATGTAGCTATTTGTAATATTCTCTGGTTATTCTTTTGATTTCTGCTGTATCTATTGTGATTTCTCACTCTTTTGTTTATGATCCTGTTTGTGCTTTCTCTTGTTTTTTTCTTTGTGAGCCTGGCTAGTGGTCTGTCTATTTTGTTTATATTTTTTAAGATCCAATTTTTGGTTTTATTGATTTTTTTGGATTATTTTCCTAACTTCTATTTCATTTATTTCTTCTTTGAATTTTATTATTTCCTGTCTTCTACTGGCTTTTGGGTTATTGTGTTGTTCTTTTTTCAGTTCTTTAAGGTGGGAGATTAGGTTGTGAAACAGGGTATCTTTTAACAGACTCTTTATTTAGTGCACTTTGTTTTTGAGAATGACGAGCATGAAAGTAACCTTGCTACAGAAGTCATGTTTTGTCTGTATTCTCTGGTACATTATTTATTTCAAGAAAACATTTTAGTAGAGAATAAAAATACTTTTCCAGAATAAAGATTATACTGGGTGATACCAAGTTTTATACTTAACTTCAAAGATAGTATAATAGATTGAAGTAGAGTTCACATATTCTTCTTTTCTCCTGGAGAGAGATTTTAAGACTTCTGGAAAATAGAGTTGATGAGTATTATTCTAGTGTGTAGGTTAATACCTGATTTGAATGAACAATTAAATTTATCATCTCTTAGACCACTAGTGAATCACTACTAGTGAATTAAAGCCCAAGTAAATAAATCAGGTTCATAGTATTTGAACACCAGGTGGAATGTAGATTGTACACTCATATGCTTTGTTAATACTGTGTCATAACTCATATTAACAGAGAGGGGGGAATAATAATATAATAATTCTTTAAGTATTATAAAAGAGACCAGGGCATTGTGTGTCAGAAGATGCCATCTTAGTAGTATAAGGCTAAGATATCTGTTCTACCAAAGACTAAACAGAAAGAGTGGTCTTGAAATTATATCAAGGAAAGTCTTGTAAAATGGTTATTACCACTGTATAGTCTGGCTCTCTGAGTGATAGTCAAGTTCAACAGACAACATTTTGATAATATTTAGAGCAGGAAATTTCAGCTTATCACTATTGAAATTTTAGGCTAGATAATCCTGGGGAGTGCATTGTAGGATATATTGGCAGCACCCTGGACTCTAACCCCAGGACACCAGTTACCTGCCTCCCTCCAGGAGTGTTAGCCAGAAATGTTTCCAGATATCACTAAATGTTCTTTAGGAGGGAGAGGGCAGGGGGCAAAATTGAGAGATTAGTTATATCAGTAATGGGTGGTATCCAGATAATAGACATAGGTAGAACCACTGATGCTGAAATACTGATACCCATCCTTAAAGATGTTTAATTATCCAAATTCTGTTTTGAGTTTGTGATTTCCTCAGCAAACTTTTAGTGTACATATCTTTTCCTTTTAAGTAACAATCTGCATAATCTCCCAATAACTGCTAAAGTTACTGTGTTTTCAAACTGGAGTTGGCAGACACGGTCTAGGACAGAAAGAAAGGTTCTCATATCTTAGAAGTTGTAATGGAGGTTAAAATCATGGTCCTTGGAAGCTGAGAAACCTGGGTTCAAATCCTGTTAACTATTTTATCATAAAATTATTATACACACAGATTGACATTAGGCCTCAACAAAAACACTTTAAAATTAGTAACTCTGTCTGTCTTCAGGTGGCCATTCAGAAGATGTTTATTTACTTCAAAATTTTAACCAATTTTATTTAAGGTAAAAATGCTAGATAGGATGTTCAGAATTGCAGTAAGCCTGTTTTATCACCTATTATAATTAGATAAGGAAGAAAGTACTTATGTTGACATTTATTTTTGCTAATTATTTTTAAATTGTAGCCTTGATCTCAATATGGAACTACCACAGGGTCAAACAGGTTCTGTTGGCACAAGTGTTGCTTCCATGGAACAGGTAGAAGTTGGGTTTTATCTTGATTTGTATGAATTTGATGTATGAATTAAATTTTTTAAATATAATAAAATACATTTGTATATAAGTAAATGTATACAACTTTTATAAACAGAAGTATTTTTCTACTGTGACATCATCAGTTAGCAAAATGTCACTAGCCTTTAACTCCTTAATGGACATTTTCTTTTTAAAGATTTATTTATTTCTGCATAGAATAACTGGAGTATAGTCCAAAGGTGTGAGGGTAAGAGGATTCACCAGAGACAGAGTAGGGAACAAAACAGGCAGATTTACTGAAATATACTGCTCAGGGGAGCAGCGGGCAAAACAGAAGAGGTCTGCTGCACCATATGTGGGTTACCTCCCTGGCTGGGATCAAACAGACCTTAGCAGTGATAGCACTGAGACTTAACCCCCTATGCCATCAGGGAGGCCTTTTAATGGACATTTGCCCACACATTGCATTCAGAGTGAATTTACTCACCTTCATACCCTTTATTAAGTTTCTTTGTATATTCTGACATTTAAAAAATTAACCTTAATGTTGGTTTTTGTATGAATTTTTGAGATAGGGTTTTAAGTCTTATTTAAAATGTGAGCTATTAAAAATGTTAGTCATTTATACTTGTCACAGACTTGATAACTTTTAAAACTTGCTTCCTCCAGGATGAACTATCGCAGAGACTTGCTCGACTGCGTGATCAAATATAATTTAAAGAAATGGTGCTGTTTATTTCACTTCCTCCTGAAATTTGTATGTATATATAAATAAGTTGTACTCCAGTTATGCTAAAAACACTATATATTCCAGAATGTTTAAGCACTATTTGTATATAATGCTTTCTTTTGTCTTTTTCAATGTTATAAGAAATTCCAGAGAGTTTCTGCCTTCACAAATTTTGCAGTTTTTTATATTATCTTGAAAAGTGTGATGGACACCATTTTTATAAATGTCTTTAACAGAGCATGTTTTGTTGTATATGAAACATCTTCCTCCAAACTTACACCAGAAATCTGCTATTACAGAATAAAGAACTTTAGTACAGAAAAAGAGTATAAAGGTTTTGTTTTATTTTTAGTTCAAAGTAGATTTACTTTCTGTATTCATATGTTATACATAAAAATAAAGGTATGGAAATGATGTTTGTTTACAAAGTCAAAAGCACCTAGGTCATTTAATATCATGCGATGAAAACTGGACAGTGTGTGTGTGTGTGTGTGTTTGGTTTTGTTTGTGTTTTTGCTGTTCAAGCAGAAATGCACTTTAAAAGCATGTTCTGTTCATCAACTTTTAAATGAAGATTATTATTGGAATTTTGACTTAGTAATATAATTTCAAAAACTCAACAAAGAAAACATAATGAACTAAAGTTACCAGTTCTATAAATTCCGGTTAAAATTTATCTTTTATCTCTTTTTTAAATGATTTATTTATTTATGCCTAAATAACTGGGACACACGCCACAGTTGTGGAGAGGCTGATGAGAGGAGTAATCAGAGACAGCGTGGGGAGCAGAACAGGCAGATGTACTGAAATACACTGCTGAGGGGAGCAGCAGGAAGGTCAGGAGAGGTCTGGCACACCATGTGGGTCACCTGCCTACCCGGGGATCAAACTTGTGCTGCAGTAGCTTGGGATAGCTTCATAGTGCTGTGCTTTAACCCACTGCACCATCAGGGAGGGCCCCCCTTTTTAATCTCTAACAACTCTTTATTAACTGGAAGAAATGAAGTAACAGTAGATAAGTTAGAATAAATTGTGTAGCCCAGACATAGAAATAACTTCATGCCAATGGAAGTTGGGAATCTAACATAGAGGGTAGGGAGACAGAAAAGTCATAAGGTTATTAAGAAGACTAGACTCTGGAAAGCTAGACTCTGGAAAGCTAGGTTCTTTGGGAGAAAGTATTTTATATCAGTAGTACTATTTAACATCTTCCCATAGATATCTATAGTTTACCTAACTGTTAGTTTAAAGCTAATATGTGCCTCCAGTTTTCTGCTATCACAATCTCAAACATGAAAAGTGATAAAATTATATTTAAGTATTAGAGTGTAGAGTAAAAGGAACCCTTGTATACTGTGAATGGAAATTTAGATTAGTCAGTCTCAGTTGGAGGTTTCTCAGACACTAAAAATAGATCTAGTACCATGATTCAGCAATCAATCTCTTCAATATCTACCAAAGAATACAAAAACACTACTTCAAAGGATAAATGCATTCCTGTTTACAATAGCCAAGCTAAGGAAACAGCTTAAGAGCCCAGTGACAAATGAATAGATAAAGAAAACATTTACATATAAACTATTAAAAAACTCAACTATTAAAAAAAAAATGAATGTCCTTTTTGACAACATGTTGCAACTGGAGGGGATTATACTCAGTGAAATGTCAGAAGTAGAAACAACATGCCAGAAGATAGCACTCATGTGGGATATAAAGAAAAAACAAAGAAACAGACAAAAACTCCTAAATCTCACTGCAGAACTAAGCCTATATAAAGGGAGTGTGAGATTGGGAGCAAATGGGACAGGGCTTCAGTGGACTGTGGTAGTCTTTGGTGAGGTGATATCATATATTTTATAGAGGTGTGAACCTATTTTTGAACCTATAGCCCTAGAACATACAGTGTTGTAAACCAGCGTTATCTCAAACAAAATATTTTCTAAAGTAGAAAATTTTATCTAAGTCAAATTCAGTATTCCTATTTGTGTTGCACCCATTATAAACTTCATAAAAAACATAGATTACTTTGAAGAATTCCACTGAAACTTTGATAGGGATTACAATTGAATCTATATATTGCTTTGGACAAAATGGACATTTTAATAAATTTTTTCCAATCTGTGAGCATGGAATATCTTTCCATTTTCTTGTGCCTTCTATTTCTTTATCATAGTTTTTTTTTAGATTTATTACTAGGTATGCAGTACTTTCTTGATACTACTGTAAATTGTTTTTTTGACTTCTCTTCTAGTTCATTATTTCTTTTTTTTTTTAAGATTTATTTATTTGTGCATACAGAACTGGGGTACAGGCCAGAGGCTCAGGGGTGGCGAGAGGCTTCACCAGAGACAGAGTGGGGAGCAGAACAGGCAGATCTACGAAGTACACTGCTGAGGGGAGCAGCGGGCGGGTCAGGAGAGGTCTGCCACACCATGTGGTCACCTCCAGGGCAGGCGGGAATCGAACTCATGCGAAATTGGCTTAAGCTCATGCGGAACTGGCTTAAGCTTCTCAGTGCTGTGCTTTAACCCGCTGCGCCACCAGGGAGGGCCATAGTTCATTATTTTTATATGGGAATCCAACTGACTTTTGTATATTGATTTTGTAGCCAGCCATCTCAATTTTTCTAGTAGCTTTTCAGTGGAATCTTAACACTTTTTTTTTTATTTTTGTATATTATGCAAATGTGATAGTTTTACTTCTTTTCCAATTAGAATTCCTTTTATAGCTTTTTCTTGCCTGATTGCTCTAGCTAGGCTTTCCAATACTATTTTGAACAGTAATGGTATGAAAGGACATCTTTATTGTGTATCTGATCTTAGAGGAAAAGCCTTCAGGTTCTCACCACAGTACCTACCTCTGACCCCGCCTCTGACATCTCTGACATGCAGCACCATTGGTCTCTTGTCCATGTCTCAAAGAGCTGCTCCCAATTGGTGTGTAACAGCTCAGAAGGAGCTTTCCACAGCCTGTGGTTTTCCAGCACCACCTACTGCTGCTGTAGAGTCTGTCACTGTCTGATCCTGAGTTTGTCCCAACCTTTAGACTGTTCTTATGTGATGCTGAAGTGTCACCTCATCTTCACGAACCATCTTTGGGACATATGAACATAGCGGACAGTCAGCCACCTGTGACCATAGAAACTCTTTCCTTTTTCTTAATCTCATGTGTTAAGTAAACCAGATTGTTTTTAGACCCCGAGCCTGAGTGGTCTTGTAGTTATGTACATGGTGAGAACCCACTGACAGTGATCTGACCCTCACTATAGGCATTGTCCCTTAGCACTAATCTTGTCTCATTTTAACACTCTTTTGGCAGTCTTTTGTTTTAATTAGTTTGTATTGCTATGTTTTCAAGTTCATTAATTTTTTTTCTTTTGAGACAAATAACTTTCTTGTTAATTACAGCCAGTGAATTTAAAATTTCAACCATTGTATTTTCCATCTTTAGAACAGTGACTGGGTCTTTTATATATTTAATTTCTCTTTAATTACTTAGCTTTTAAACATGTAATATAGTTACAATAATTTTAACATCATAATCTGCTAGTTCTTAAATCGATTTCAGTTCTGAATTACTTTGATCAATGTTTCTTCTCATTCTTGTAGTTTTTGATTGGATGTTGTATGTGAATTTTGCCGAATATTTTGTATTCCTACAATATTACTTTTCTATTATGGGCTACAGTTAAGTGGAAAGAGTTGATCATCACAGGTCTTCATTATAAGATTTGTTAAGCAGCATTTAGTCTGGAGTCTAGGTTGAGGACTCATATCTTAACATAGAGGCAGATGTTTTCTGAGTAATGTTTTGCATGTAAATTATATA